CATCAGAACATGTCCCGATTTCTCCTCCTTGTCCATTGTGAACTCTAGGATGGTTTGATCAGTTCTTCCCAAGGTTCTATCATTTCTGCCTTGGCAAACACTTCCTGCTTGTTAATTATAATCAAGTCCATCATACCAGTTTCTCTGATCACTTCTGCTTTCAGCAAGATGAAATTATCAATAAGACATGTCTAAAATAAAGTGTGTGCTGCACCACTCTTAGCAGATAGATGTCCAGCAGAGTCCAAATAGTTGAAGTCTCCCATTACCCTTCTGTCCTTTCTAAATGCCACCTTTCTGGTTTTCACCAAGAACTCATCAATCCATTTCCTCCTTCTGGTTGAGTATTATGTAATATACTCCCACCACAATATCTCTATTTCTCCCTTCTCTGATTCTTGTCCAAATATTTCAATGGTTCCTTCATTTGTTTGGCTTTGTCCTTGAACTGACTATATGTGATGGCTTATGGTGTAGGAGAAAGGAGGTGCACATTGAAGAAAAGGTGGACCTGGGGCTCAAAAGAGGAATTGGAGTTTTTAAGAATGAGGTAGACCTGGTAACATTTGGGCAAATACCAAGCTGATAATAAGCAATTGAAGATGAAAGAGGTAATCAAAAAGGTAAGCTCCTAGAGGAAACAGGAGGATGTAAAATCAAGGGTAAAAGCAAAAACCTTGACAAGGAAGAGGACTGAGTCTTCCTCAGAGACATGAGGAAAGCAGGAGTGAGTGGGAAACAATATAGAGAGGGTTTGGTGTGGAGAAGTAGAGACAGGAGTTCAGAATTAATGGCCTCTTTGTTAAATAGCAGATGAAGTTTTCTGCTGAGGAGGGGAGAGGTAATAAAAAATATATGTCTTAAAGAAAGGCAACATAGTTCAAGGGAAAGTTCAAAGGGGATTGGGCTAGATGATCTCTAAGGTTCCTTCCAGCTCTTGATCCCGTGAAACAGCAGATAAGAGCCACGACCCCACAAAAGTCATTTATCCCTTGGGTAAATCATAGAAAAGACCCACCCTGAGATCTACCAATTAGGAACATGATACTTTGCCTTTACTTTCACCACACTAGCATCTCATGGTGATCTACATGGAGATCATTAAACTATCACCACCAAGCTCTATTTTGCTTATCTACTGTTTGGTCAATTTAAAGTTTAACCTTGATCCATCAGCTTTATTCCCCATTCAGAGTACTGTATTTTGCAAAGAGGTAGAAAGTTTGGGTTAAAGTAATCTGCCTCAGATTTCATAAGATCTAGAGCTAGAAGGACCACTGGAGATCATCTCTTCCAACACCCTCATTTTATAGATAAAGAAACTGAGAACCATAGAGATTAAGTGACCTCCTTCTAGGATGGCAGAGCTGAAACTCAAACCCAAGTCTTCAGTCTCCAAATTCAGAGTTCTTTTTATAACTCCAAGGTAGAGCCTCCATTTCAGTTAACTTTTCTGATACACTTTGTAATAAAAATAAAGTGCTTTTATATGTATATATGTATACATGCATATGTATATATTTATATTTATTTTTTTGTATTTTTTTAATGTGTGTGTTCCCGTGTATCAGATTACAATCCCTCCCTTCATTAGTAAATGATATTCATGAATTACTGTGGTCAAAAATTTCATTATCAGGTAGCCCATTTTCTGGTAATGTGTGTATGTATACACATTTGTCTCTCAGCCAGCCTCAATCCCAATGATTGGTTTCCAAGGAAGTGTTCATCTGCCACCCTCTAACAACTTTAGATTATGACTGCTAATCATTATACTAAAGGCAAATTGACTTGTCAGAAGAGATTAGCCAAACAACACTCTTAAATTTATCCATACAAAATCTTCTAGAAAAATCTTAGGGTAACTAAAGTTAGATTTATTCCTTTAAGCAAGATTTAAATTGTCAGCTTCCCAGCAGCATTTGTCGTTGTCCTGGGAGTCTTTCTCTCATAGCCTGACTTGACTTCATGTTTTTCAAGAAGCAAGAAGAACCCAAAGTTTTCTTCATTTGTGCTAGTGTTGGTCTGGGAGCCAGAAGGCCTGAGTTCTAGTCCTAGACTTGGTTATAGTAGATAGATGGATGGAAGGAGAGAGAGACAGAGTGAGAGAGAGACAGAGACAGAGATGGAGACAGAGACAGAGAGACAGAGGGAGAGAGAGAGAGAGAGAGAGAGAGAGAGAGAGAGAGAGAGAGAGAGAGAGAGGATAGAGAGAGAGAGAGAAGGAGAGAGAGACAGAGAGAAAGAGACAGAGAGATGGAGGGGGGGAGGGAGAGAGAGGGAGAAAGAAAGAGGGAAGAGGAGAGAGAATATAGATAACAGATAGAAAATAGATAGACAGATAGATAGATAGATAGATAGATAGGTAGATAGATAGATAGATGGATGGATAATTTATTAAGTGATTATTAAATGCCGGGCACTGTGCCAACCTAGCTAGCAAGACAGTCCCTGAACTCTAGACGCCTACATTCTAATGGGAAAGAACAACATTAAGGAGAGAGGGGAGAGTAGCAAGGGGGAGGATAAATGCACATCAGTATTTAGTGAGTAGAAGCCTAGTCTCCTGACAAGATAAGGTAGAAAGTTCAGGGCCAGGGCAGAGCACAAGATTACGAAGGGAGGGAGATGAGGCGATGTCCAGAAAGCAGGGAGGACAAGGACTAGCTTTATTGGGATCAGGACAGTATTTTAGAATTGGAAGCAACCTCGGAGTTCCAACCTTGAGCTAAATGAGAATTCTCTCTAGAACACATCTGAAAGGTCAGGCAATCTTTCCTCGAAGACGTCCAGATTTGCCGCGTTGCCAGTTCCACACGTTACTCTCTAAAGCCGAGTCCCTTGGAGCCAAGCAGAATAAATCTAACCACTTTCCCCTCCAAGAGCCTTTCAAGTACCTCAAGCCATTTATCATGTCCTCCTCCCTCCAACCCCTCCTACTATGCTAAACCTTCCCATTTTCTTCACTTTGTCTTCATATGGCACAAGTTGAAGCTTTTCATCACCCGGGTCGCCCTTCTCTGGAGTCTTCAGTTTATCAATAGTCTTCCTAAGACAGATCCCAATACATCAAGTGAGATGCTCGTTCCCTTATTCCTGGATGCCGTGCCCAATATTGCCTTAGCTGCCAACTGACACACTGGTGGCTCATATTGGCCTTGCAGTTCATTAAAATCTTTTTTCAGACAAATTGCTTATGACCTTTGACAAATCTCTCCACCCCTCTAAGCATCAGTTTTTTCATTTGTAGAATAAAGTGATTAGAATAGATGAGGGGCCTGAGAACTACAGCCTGCACACTAAATCAGGCCCGGCTGCCTGTTTCTCTACAGCCCTCCAGCTAAGAATGGTTTGTACATCTTTTCCCCTTTTTTCTTTTTTTTAAATTTTAGACAAATGCTAAAACAAACACATAATAGGAAAATAAAAAGAAACATTGCAAACTTAAATATAAAATAAGAAAAAACAAAAAAAGTCATGTGCACAGCAGAACATAGGAGAGGATTCAAATGATAATTTTTTATTTCAAGAAAGCTTATATATTAAATAATATTTATTATGTTGAAAACTGTCCATCTTTTCTTTGCTTCCTTATAGGTTTTCTTTTATTCTCTGCTGTGCACTTTTTACTTCCCCCCCCTTCCCTCCCCACTCCCCACCAACCCGAAGGCTACAGTTAAGCTTTGGATACATTTATATATTTGTACAAAAGCCAGAAGGCCATACACAAACAGGTGGCAGGTCAGATTTGGCTATAGTTTGCCGAAGTCTGGATTAAATGATCTCTAAGGTCCCTCCCAGTTCTGATATTTTATGATTGTACTTTCCAAAGTATTGCTGAGGAACTCTGATAAAGTGATGCTTATCACAATTTCAACAAGAACGCCATTTATTAAACCTGGATCATTTCATTTAATAAAAATAGTGACTGGTCCTGTGATTTCATTGTTACAAAGAATTCCCAGTTAAAGAAATTTCTTTTACAATACAGATCAACACCCTTTTCTGCAATTTATATCTTGAAGAATTGTCTACAATGCTCAGAGGTTAAGTACATTGGTCGAACAGGCCACATGTCTCAGAGGCAAGCCTTGAGCCCAAGTCCTTGTAGCTTCAAGACTGGCTCTTTACCCACTCTGTCAATTTTTTAAAATTTCCTTTTCCCTTAGAGTTCAACCATTTCATACATCCATGGATGTAGCATTGGCCTGGAGGCAGGAAGACCTGGATTTAAATTTGGCCTCAGCTACTTCCTAGCTGTGTGACCCAGAGCAAGTCACTTAATCTCTGTTTGCCTCAGTTTCCTCAACTATACAATGGTGATAATAACAGCACCTACCTCATAAGGTTCTTGTGAGGATCAAATGAAATAATATTTATAAAGACTTAGCACATAGTAGATGATATATATGTATATATGCATATGTAATATATGCATATATACATATCATCTATGTGCTATATACATATATATATATACACACACTATGTGATATCTATGTACATATGTGTATATGTAGTTGCTGTTGTCAAGTAATTTTTCAGTCATGTCTGACTCTCCATAACTTGGGATTTTCTTGGCAGAGATGCTGGAGTACTTTGCCATTTCCTTCTTCAGCTTATATTATAGATGAGGAAATTGAGAAAAATGGGGTTAAGAGACTTGCCCAGGGCCACACAGCTAATAAGTGTCTGAGGCTAAATTTCAACTCAGGAAAATGAGTCTTCCTGACTCTAGGCCCAGTCCTCTATCCATCATACCACCAGCTGCTCTGTGTGTGTGTGTGTGTGTGTGTGTGTGTGCACGCGCATGCACACGCGCGTGTGCTTATTCATTTCCTTTATTGAGATTTGCAATAAAATAAAATTCTTAACTCATTATTTGTAAGACACATTGTACCTATTTTGGAAAATATGAATAATTATCATTCTAAATAGTATGAGAAACAGAGAAATAGGATTAATAATATTGTGGATTTAGAAACAGGAGGCACCTCAAGCTCATCTAGTCCAACACTATTATTTTACAGACAAGGACACTAAAGTACAGAGATTAAGTAGCTTGGCCAAGGTGATGAAGGCAGTAAAGAAGACAGTCATGATTTGAACCCAATACTCTTTCTCCTGTGCTTTATTTAGACCACACTACTTCCCTCTTGATCTGGACCTGTGTTTTCATCAGTAGACAAACTTCTGGGGAAGGGTCATGCAGTCAGGATGTGTGAGAGGCCAGAATTGAAACCAATCCATGCCTCATCCACAATCCCATGATGCTTTTCTGTTAGAAAAGAGTTATTGCTTACCCTATGACATGAACACGGTCATAAGCAGAATAAACATAACCAGTTCATATCAGAGAATCTTCTTTCTCTTTCCCTCTGTTAAAGTCACAAATTGTTTCCTCACAAGTTAGTCCCAACAAGCTTTTTATTGCCTCCTGACCTAATGTACCCAAATGCTAAAAACATTCTTTAGGCGCAAAGGAGAACAAAATGGTAAGAAAAAAGCCCTGTGGGTCACCACAAAAGGGTGATTGCCAAGAACATCGTATTTCTGTGTGAAGTCAATGTTCCTTCTAATTTGATAAGAAGTTGAATAATAGTGACTTACAGGGCTTTTCTGTTACCGAATGTTTAGACACTTAAAATACAAAAGTTGGAGGATGTCCCAGGACCTTCTTGGCTTTGAAAAGTTTTGAGGTCCCATTACTGCTCCCGAGGGCCTTTTAAACCATTTCACACCTGTGAATGGTTCCAATGCAGTGGAAATTTTATTTTTCTAAATGATAAGAAATTGGCACAATTTGAACTTTAAGGATTGACTCAGGGTGCAAAAGCTCTTTAGATCTTCAGATTGAAGGACCCTCCTTTCGACTTTTAGCTACAGCAGAGGTCTTCCCCGAAAAGGTACTAGTATTCTCTGAAACGAAAGGCTAAAAACAAAACAAAAACAAAAACTGGACATCATTGAATATTCCTAGGTAATAAATGCCAAATAAAACTTTAACACAAATTAAATAACAAATGCCATACATCTTAATTTTTCTGTCCTCCAACTTTCTCTTGTTTCAGGTTAGACCATTTTCACTCACAGAAGTCTCTGGAAGAGTTTCAGAGAATTGTAGCTAGCCTGTTGAAGTAAGGAAAGAAGCAAACAAGCATTTATTAAGTACCTACTATGTGCTAGACACATGCTAAGTGCTTTACAACTGTTATCTCATTCGATCCTCACAATAACCTTCAGAGGTAGAGGCTGTTAACATCTCCATTTTACAGCTGAGGAAACTGAGGCAGACAGAATTAGATGATTTGCCTAGGGTCACTCAGCTGGTAAGTCTGACTCCAAATGCACTCTGTTATGTAGAGATGGGGAGCCAGGGGGAGCAGCTAATCAGATCATCAGGCAGAATCCCAAGACTGACTATTTGATTGGATGGGAACCTGGTTCTAGACACTCAACAGAAACCAAAAGGAAGTAAACAAATACAATTTTAATCATGTTCCATCTAGCTAGCTAGCTCTTATCTTTACTGCCCCCAAGACATTTTTTCCCTTTTTTTCTTTTGTGCCCTTCCTTTTCCTTCCTTCTCTCTTTTTAAAAGCAGGCTATAAGGGGCAGCTAGGTGGCACAGTGAATAGAGTAGGGGATCTGGAGTCAGGAAGATCTGAGTTCAAATCCGGCCTCAGACATTCGACACTTATTAGCTGTGTGACCCTGGGCAAGTCCCTTAACCCCAATTGCCTCGCCAAAAAAAAAAAAATTATTATTCTCTAAAAGCAGGCTATATGTATGGTACAGTGCATAGAGTGCTGTGTTTGAATTCAGAATGGCCTGTGTTCAAATCATACCTCCAAGTCTTACTAGCTGCATGACCCTAAGCAAGTCACTTAAATTCTATATGCCATAGGCAAGTGCCTATCTCCTTATCTATTATCTATTTGATTATAGATTGGTTAGATTGAGTGAATGAAGGCTGTGTGTGTGTGTGTGTGTGTGTGTGTGTATGTGTGTGCACGCACATATGTGTCCAGGGTGGGCTGACCATTATAGATCTTTCTCTTTTTTGTGCATACCTTTTGTTCTTGTTGTTGAGTTGGGTCTGACTCTTCATGATCCCATTTGGGGTTTTATTAGCAAAGACACTGGAATGGTTTGCCATTTTCTTCTCTTATTCATTTTATAAACGAGGAAACTAAGGCAAACAGAGTTAAGTGACTTGCGCAGCATCACACAGCTGATAAGTATCTGAGGTCAGATTTGAACTCAGGTCTTCTTGACTCCAGGCCTGGTGCTCTGTCTACTGTACTACCTAGTTGTCCCATTCATACTTTAGAAGTATGCAGTATGAAAACTGTACTCCCTAACCCAGCCAGTGGGCATAATGCATAGATGTTTTCATCAGGACAGTTCAAAATCTTTCTCCTGATAAAAATGTTTTTATTGCACTCCCTAGTTAATTTTTTAAAATTTTAAATAAATTAAATTTAAATTATATAAAAATATAAGAAATAAAAAAGAAAGGAGTTTTTAAAAATATTAGTCAATTAGAAGCCAGTGTGTGTTTTTTACTCCTGAGGGTCGTGGTGATTTCAGCTTATATGCAAATCATAAATACCTTTTACAAAGACGTTTATGGGAACTGAAACTCCTTCCTCCCCCTACTCAGATGCATATCTCACTTGACATGCCTCAGCTCATGAGTTCACTTTGCTTTTTATACACTTCTCCTGAAAGTCCTGATTTGATTTACATTGGCAATGAATAAAATATGGAAACTTGAAAAACAGTTAGGAATCCCACCTCCCCTACCTCATCAGATAGATTCACTTATACAGTCAACACAGTGTATATGCAAGACAGTGTATTAGTTGATTAATTGGGAGAGGGGGGTGAAGTGTTGTTTTTCTTAAAAAACAAAAATCAGAGCTCTTCCACATCCCAGCTGAATGATTTTGAGCCAATAACATGAGAGTGGGGCTCTTTACAGGAATACAAAGAACATTCTGTATCTGTCTTTTCCCACCCACATGAAGAAATTATGCAGGTCAAAAAGCTGATGACATCAGAATTGAGGAGTATTTTCATCCCAGCTGGAGGCATCCTTCCTATCTAGTCTGAAACTTTTTGCCTTTAGGTTCTTCCTGTGACACATTATAGAAAGGGTCAATTCCTCTTTCTGTATGTGGCCAAAGTAATAATAGTATTTATAATGATAATATTATTACATGCTTCTTATCTTTATGTCTGAGATAGAAACAGTCCTAGGATGAGTTGCTATCCTGTTATTGTTCATTTATGTTTAATATTGGGCAAACTATTGAGCAGATGGGCAAAATAATTTTTTTAATTAGATGACAATGTGGAGTGAAAGTTCATCTTCTGGAGACTCCCTGAAAGTATCTTTGGGATAACTCCAATAGCAGACAGGACAACAGGATGATAAGTACTTCTTCTGTTCCCATATGGTTTGATTTCTTCCATCGGATATCTATATTTAGAAAACTCGTCATCCCAGATCACCTGGAGGTTATAAGTATTTTACATAACAATATCTATTTAAAATGCTGTTCTTCAATTTTTGTGGCTCAATGTCACGTCTGAACAATTGTGGGACATTGTTGTGTCTGTATTTTGTGGCTCAACATCATTTATTTGTTGATTTTTCAAGGATATTTGGGGGGTTCTATTTGTAATATGGGAATTTCCTGCCTGTTGATTTATGAAGAATGGAGAGCTTTTGGTGCAAAGCATTGGATGATTGTTTCTTTCTAGGTATTCAGTAAATTCTAAATTGTTGAGCTTTGGTGTAATATGTTATAGTTTCTACCATTTACTTTCACTGATCTATAAATGCAGAAACAGTTAGGTGGAATAGTGGATAGAGCTATTCCACCTAACTGTCTCTGCATTTATAGATGACTTAGAGTGACTTAGGACAAGTCACTCAACCCAAGATGTTAAATAAAACTTTTGTTTGAATACGTTAATTTTTTTCATTTTTTTTCAATTAGCAAGTATTTATTTTCTCTCCCTCCATTATTGGGGGGATAAATTGTATAACAAGTATGCATCATCAAGAAAGATAAATTTTCATATTGGGCATCTTATTTGGATAGTCCCTAAATCTGCTATCATTCATGTTATTATTCCAGTGGACTTCAAGACTCATATTATAAACATGTTCTATCCATTGAGTTTTGATTTCAAGATGCTAATGAGTCTCTTGACATACACAGCCACAATTTTGTCCTTAATAACTTTATGATCAGTATGGAGAAGATCAAGATATTTGCAAATATCACTTTTACCCATTGATCCTGTTTGACCTCCTGATTCAAGCAAGTTCAGTGCCTTGAGTCTCTATTTTAACTTGGCAGACTAACATACACTGAGAGTTTTACACTTATTTATTAAAAGTGTTATCTTGGTCTCATCTTGTTGTTCTTGTAGGGGTTCACATAGAAATGGTCCTGGGATAAGTTGCCATTTTGCTCTTTCTCTTTGTTGTTTAATGTTTTACATGTTATCTCACAGATGGATTAAATAACTATTTAGTTGAATAAAAGTATCAGGATATAAGCTCACTATTGGCTTGTGAAAGGTATTTTCTCTCTTTGTTCCATGTAATTGGAGATTATGAATAAGTGGCTCCATGACATCTATCATCATCATCATTGTCAACATCATTACCATTTTCATCAGCTTTTCTCTAGTGCTCTGATCTTATTATAGGGAACTCCCAAAGAGGAAACCCCTCTACCAATGCAGATTGTCAAGTGTTCTACAATTTATAGTCTTAGAGAGTTATTTTAATAGCAAATATTATCATTATAACTATACATTTATATGATATTCTACTATCCAGTGACACTGGTCTCTTTTCTATTCCTTGCATAAGACATGCCATTTCCAAACTCCGGGCATTTTCACTGACTGTTCCCCTATGCCTGGAACACTCTCCCTTCTTATTTCTGCCTCCTAGCTTCCCTGGTTTTCTTCATCTAAACGTGTACAGGAAACCTTTCCCAATTCCCCATAATTCTAGTGCCTTCCCTATGTTGATTTTTTTCAATTTATCTTGTATATCATCTGCTTGTCCATAGTTATTTTTGTGGTATCTCTCCCATCTCCTTGAGGGCAGGAAGTATCTTTTGCCTTTCTTAATATTCCCACAATATACAATGCCTTGTATATAGTAGGTGCTTAATAAATACTAGTTAATTGATTGCTTTAATGCAATGAGCTTTAGGCAGCATGGCATAGTGAATAGAGAGCTGACCTCAGCGTCAAGAAGACCTCTGTTGCATTTTATCTGTATGTGCCTGGGCAAGTCAGCAAGTCACTGACCTCCTTGGTGTCTCTGGAAACTTTCTAAGACTATAAATTGCAGTATAATTAATGGTCTACAGCAGTAAAGGAAGTTTCTTTGCTGAAGAATTCCTTCCACCAATGAAATCACAGGTCTGGACCCATAGGTAGCATAGCAGGCTTTTCCTGACCATACATATAACATTACTAGGAGGTAGATAGAAAGGTCACCCATAATCACATAGATAATAACTGGCAAAACTGCCTCCAACACTGTCACATATATGTGCTCTTTTCACAGAATGCTGCCTTTCCCCACTGGAAAAAAAACAATGAAGCAGATGACATTTGTAATCATCCTATCCACATTCCTGTGGTAAACTCCTGCCAACTCTGTGTGCCTTTTTCCACAATGATCTGAGCTAGCAATGGAGGGAAAGAGCCTGGCCTGGCAACTGTGGTCCATCAAAATCATAGAGGGGAGGAGCGGCACAGAGAGAACGTGGAGCCCAGCAAATAATTTGGGGAGAGGTGAAGTAAAGTGACTGGGGAGAAGGCCAAGTGAGTTGGGGGAGTAGAAAAGGGGAACATATGCTTCTCTCAAGGTTAACTTAAAAATTCAATCAGTAGTGGAATGTGGATTCATTCTACAGTGAGATTTAGAAACATGAAGTATTTCTGTTTCATTTTTATCTGTCTTGACCTGTGTAATCAATAGAATGGATTGCTAGAGACGGGCAAATGTCCCAACTTTTTAGAAGAAAAAAAGGTCAGAGTGTGAAGACAATAGGCAGGTGGACTTGACTTTAATCCCTGGAAAA